CGCGTTTTGCTAAGAAAGAATGAAACATATTAAAAATTCGCCCAGAAATATGCCTTAATATTTTTCTTTTACAGTAAGGCACGCCTTGTACAAGGCCCAGGGGCCACTCGAGGTAGAGAGTTATGTTAACGTATATTATAATTTTACGTGTTATAATATTAATAGCGAGCATTAATGTTTTTATATATACAGCTAAGTGTTAAAATCTATATTTGTATTAACTTTCTATATATATATATATATATATATATATATATATATATATATATATATATATATATATATATATGGATTGTGAGTATAATGCGGTTTTTTTATTTTCTGACTTGTACAACCTCCATTTAAAATATGGTCGTAACTTTCATTTGTTTTTAGATTGAATATGTGCAGATGTACCGATTTTATTTTTATATATGAGGAAATATGCAGATCTTTGCGCCCATTAGCGGCCGCGTGAAATTTTTTCTTAATAACAAGGATAGGCTGAAAAATGTCCTGGTAAATCCTAATACGCAATATTGATGGAAAGTCTGTTTGATTTTCAGTGTGAGTTTGAAAAATAAGTGTGTATGTAAAATTAAAAATTAAAATCTGTTGAGGTTTGGATGTGAAAAAATATCCATAAAACTATGTGTAATGATTTAATTGAGGCAAGTGACATATATATATATATATATATATATATATATATATATATATATATGATGCTATATCGCTACTGGTGCTGCTCTGTCTTCACTATTCACTGTTGATAGAGTCCAAAAGCGTCTACGCGGACATGTGGGTGATGAACTGTATTCCACTTTACAGCCACTTTCCGACAAGCGAAACGTTGCGAGCCTCGTACTGGACAGTGTGTACTTGGACTCAGTGGAAACGGTGAGCTATAACTGAACAGTAATAAAAATAAGAACTAGACGAAACATTGCTAGGCATGTGCAGTGGAACGAGAACAGTCTACCCTGTAAATTAAATAGAGGATTCGGTTTGGAATTCCCCATAGATTACTCGGGTCAACATAGACCTGATAAAGGCCGGAGTGCACAACGGACGAAACGTCGTGATAGCAACAGCAAAAATGCGGACAACATTCGTTATGTAATCAGTTTATCTTACGTCTACCAAACTATACAGTCGAGAAAATCTAACAAAAAAAAAAAATTGCTCTCCGGCAGGGTTCGAATATTCTCCTCCTTTATAGGAGAAACCACCAACTAATCCAGCGTGCTTCCTAAAGATGGGGGGGTGCACGGATTAAAGCGCGCGGGATGGGACTGTAGTTTCTCTTACAACGAGGGACACAGTTTCGAACCCTGCCCTAGAGCATATTTTCTTTATTAATTTTTTTTTCAAGTGATACACACTATTAATACACACTATTTAAAAATAGGGCGTCTACTCAAAAGCGGGTATCCAGTAAAAGTAACGTTTCAAATCCATTAATTCTTTAGAAATTTTAGTTGCTGTGATTATATCTTACAATAAAAATGTGCAGATTTAATTAACATTAATACTTAACCTATAAAGTCATTCTATCAATTGGTTTCATGTTATCTACCCCTGTTCAATTATAAAATGCCCTTTTATGAAGGCTTTGCAATCTTTACAATGGCTGACAAATTCCAGCAAAATAATTACATCCAATTTTGCATTAAGCTCGGCAAATCTTGTACCAAGCGATTAGAAATAATTAATCAGACTTTCTTTAGGTCAAACACGGGTCTTTGTGTAGCACACTAATTTTAAGACCTGTTAAACGCTTTGATACCACATCGTAATATAGACTGAACTCCCTGGCAGAACACGTAGCTGATTCCAGTGACCTGAAATGAATGATAGATTGTTCAGCGGCAGTTCTTATAGACGAGATCACGAATTCTTACATTTGTCGGCTAAAATTGGCTAAGAATAGGTTCCAAAATAAATTCACATATTTAATCAGATTTGTAGAAATGGGTGAGGCGTAGAACTTTTATATATATATATATATATATATATATTTATTATAAATTTACTAATTTAAATTTTAAATTATTATTCCTAATTCTAATTACTAATCTTTTAAAATACAAATAAATATATTCCTCCCCAGACCACGTTCTGTCATCTACTTCCTTAAGTCCGCCAGGTCTGTCATCTTGTTTCCCTTGTCTCTATTCTCTATTCGACCCTCCTTTCTCTCATTATGCGTCACAGAAACTTCAGCTGCCCCTTCCTGATATTACGTATAAGCCTCCTCCTTGTTTGCAACCTCTCTAAGATCTCATCGTTGCTCACACGCTCGGTTCATGGTATCCTCAGCATCCTTCTGTAGAACCACATCTCTGTCGCCTCGAGTCTCTTCTTCATCTTTGAGGAGATCGCCCAACATTCGCTGCTGTAAAGAAGAACAGATGTCACGTAACAGCTCAGTATTCTTTTCTTTGTTACCAAAGAAATCCTCCTGTCTCGCAGTACTCTGTCCAACTTTTGGAATGTGTCCTTGTCCATCCTGATACGCCTACGGATCTCAGTGTTTCACTTACCGTCGTCTGTCAAAACGCCTCCCAGGTATCATGGTTAGGTTAATTTTAGATGCCTAATACAAGGGGTTCTTAATAATTGGTGGAGGACTGGAATTTCTCTCAATTGGCAATAAATGGGGGTAGTTTTAATAAAAGGGAGATGTCGAAAAAATCTCTATTCCTATGCGTCTCATATATACAATGGAAACTCATCTCAATTTATTTTTTACTTTTTGATGCTACAGAATGTAATGGTGAACTCGTGTTTTAAAAATAAAAAGTGTTTTAAAAACGTTAAGTTTATTAAGGAATAGAACATGGTAATTCGGATAAGAATTTTTAAAAAGAAAAATAGAACACTTTCTTTTTTAAGCAATGGAATAGCATCTTTCAACACACGTCATATCTTAAAAGCGTGCATATCCCCATAATCTGCACTTCTTACCTTTTCTTCTTACGTTCATAAAGTAACCTCATTCAGTTACCCTCTATCTTGAGTGGATCTTGAGCATTGTGTAGAGTGAAACGAGCCGAGATTAATTGAAATATTGGTGCGAATAAAAAGTCATGTTAACTGTTAAGGAGTCACCTATTCTTCATTAGTCGGTACACCCACTTCAATTCAGCACTCCGCCTTTGTAGCCTTAAACCAAACTCGGTTAAACTTAGTAAATGTGCTGCTTCTCCTATTATTCTTTCTTTGTGTCCAAAAATTAAAACTAATTTCAAAACTATGCGCGCATTGTAATACGATTGATCAATATACTCGTGTATAAGCCGATCCGAATATAAGCTGATCTCCTTATTTTATGTATAAAATATGAGCAACAATTCAAACCCTGTGTATAAGCCGTGGCAGCTCGTCAACAGATTATGTTCTAAACTGGATCCTCACAAAGCATGTGGACTTGATGGCATCCCTGCAATAGTGCTTAAGAAATGCGCTACTGAACTGTATCCTGTTCTCTAAACTCTACAATAACGTAAGTTCTATGCTAACAGTTTCTTCAGTCGCACTTCTCACTTGTGGAACTTACTTCCGGTTTCTTGCTTCCCAGTCAAAAATTTAAATTATTTTTTACTGTCTTCTCTCCTTAAAAGTGGTTTTTCTCATATTCTCTAACACTCAGTAATCTCTTGCGTCCTAGTGGCTTTATTGCCTTCTTTGGGGTCAAATGATTAAATAAAAATATTTAGATAGCGCGGTTGTTTTAAATTCCGGAGAGTGAAGAATATATTTTTATGGAGTTTTAATACTCCGATATCTAAAATTTATTTAATTCTCATTTAGAGTATAGTTTTTGTTTCATAACTACATTACACAATGATTTTTCATTTTTTCCATTTCATTTGTTTTATAAAGTTTTAACAAATATCAAATGTATCACATATCACAAAATGGTGTCTGAATTTAGAATTATATCAGAGTATATTCAAATTCCAGAACAAATCAACGGTAATGGAACATCTGTATAGCATTTAATATTTAATAAATTGAAATTAATTAGGAAACGGACCACTAACATATTGAGAGAAATGAAAGAATAGGTAAAGACTCTGAGTACTAAAAATATTCCGTAAAATGCTTCTAAAGTCTAAGTAAAACTGTGATATGCTATAAAACAATCATTCCAGATGTTTTGTCGCTTTTTTTTTTACATTGTGTGTGTGTGTGTGTGTGTGTGTGTGTGTGTGTGTGTGTGTGTGTGTGTGTGTGTGTGTGTGATGGTTGCCCTTCGGGTCTGAAGAATACTTTGAATCAGTGGTTCCTGAGTTTGCTTCGCAACTCAACCCAAGTCTAAACGCGCAGAGTCTTGAAAAATGGGGACACTAGAAGTCAGTGATGTAATCATCACCAAAGTTTCACGCTTGCGCTATATATATATATATCTATATATATAAAGAAATATAGTCTTAAGGTGTGCTATATTTATGGGATAAAGTGCTCAATATCAGAGATAGAGCGTGTGTAAATATAAAATAAGGTGGCCTGACGATTGCATATAGCATGAAACAGACTGTCGCCTCTAAGTGTTGACTTCTATGTTCACTTTTATATCTATATATATATATGTGTGTGTGTGTGTGTGTGTGTGCCTGTGTGTGTGTGTGTGTGTGTGAATAAAGACAAAAGAAGAAGGAAAACTTATCTAAAAGGGTTGTTTCGTCCTCTGATGAACGTTATCAAGGCAAATGTGAGGATTTTATTTTGCAACAAATATTTATAAAAAAAAGTAAAAATGTCAGTTTTTCAACATTTCTAAATTTAATTTAAGAGACGCTCATAAATATTCATCAGGTTAACTGAAAATTGTAGGTAAATTATGGAGGATGCTAAGTGACATAATTTAATGTCCATTAAACGAAAGTGAGTAAATGATGTTGATTTTTTTTCTTTTTTATAATGCAATTAATATTCAAATTACTTTATTATGACTTTTGACTCTTATCGCTTAATTTTCGCTCGTTGCCTTTTCACCTTCTCTCCTTCTGCAGGTGTTGGCTATGCATCATGTTTCATGTCATACATCGTGGCATTTTATTACAATATTGTAATCGGATGGAGTTTTTACTACCTTTTCTCATCATTCACTACGTCGCTGCCCTGGATGACCTGCAACAACAAATGGAACACGAAAAATTGTTGGCAACTTGATTGGTTCAACGAAACAACACTACTGTCCAACGTCACATATAACTCAAGTGTCTCGGTGTCCTCCACAACGGAATTCTTCGAGTAAGCTTTCACCCTACGCCATATGACGTACGGCTTTTTGTTATTCACTAATTTTTTTCTCACAACATAGGAATTTCTGTTAAACACCCGTTGTCAAAATTTTATTCACTCTAGAATTTTCATACTGTTTATTTTTATTATAACATTGGCCAGTGAAAAATTCACAGCAATTGCTTTTAGCTTATATATTTTCATTAAAATGAGAAAATGTATTTATATAATTCATGACTGCTGAAATTGTTACACTATAGACATTTAAAAGAGATCGTCAGAATGTATATTACTATATCACAATTAGGTATCGACATGGTTTAAAAATATTTTTGCTTTGACAAAATATGACAAAAATAGTTGAGTGATCAATTGATTTCTTTTATACGGTTTATCAACCTTTTGAAGGTTATTTAAAGCCAGAAATGATTTTTAGATTGTAAGAAATTTTTGGAGATAATAAAGACTTTACTGTTACAAGTTCTACTAATTAACTCATAGCTGGGGGGGAAGAGGCGGATTCATATCGTTCCCAAGGGTGTCTGCGTGTAAGTGAATATAATGAACCTGACTGGAATTAGAACTCGGCGCTCCGATTTCCAATTTCAAGCCATTACCCCCACCCACAGCCCCAAGTTTACAACCCCTGGTATTATAAATCGGTTACACATCTAGGTACTGACCAGGCTAGACGTTGCTTGACTTCGGTTATCGTCAAACTGGTGTTTCAACGTGATAGGGCCGTAAGTCGACAAAAATTAAACATTGCTTGACCAAAAATGCAGTAGTGCTGACCAAATCTCAAAAGCGTTTACGTGACATTGTGGGTGACAAATTACTTCCAACCACCACACCCTTTTTTCCACAGACGAAACGTGGCAAACTCAGACGAATTTTATTCCTAAGTTCCACCAATTCTGACCTTTACAGTTAAGACCCATCATGCCACGTACACTGAGTTGAATCATTCTCATCCCTTCATATTCCATTAAGAAAGAACTCCCACCCAAACAGGTTCTTCCCAAAAACAACTATTGTGTAAAACAAACTCCCGAGAGGATGCTTACCGGATCACTGCAATCTTAACCTGTTAAAGTTTCGAGTCGACAGTTATCTATTGCATGTCCTCATAATCTTTATATATTCCTTTCATTACGACTATACAGCAACTTCAATTATCTATATGACAACTTGAAGCCTATTTCTTGTTGTTCTTCTTTAGCCTTATACTGGGTGAATCTTTAGTAAAGAAAAAAGTATATAACATTTTATTGCACACACACACACACACACACACTCTCTCTCTCTCTCTCTCTCTCTCTCTCTCTCTCCGTCATTGCTGATGACAACGCTGTCCTTCCATCTCCGTCCATAATCTGTGGGCTGCCAAATGAGATATCAGCCCGATCGGACACAGCTAGCAGGGAAATATGCCCGGTGCGGAATTGGAAGGTTGCAGATGACGCTGGCGTGGCCTCCCCTCGAGCGCTCCTCGTCTCTCTTCCTCGAAGTGCACCACTCCTGGCGATGCAGGGAGACCGCCTGCCGATCCGATCCCTTGCAAGGTTCTCCAATTGTGTTGGGTCAATATTACAGGAGACAAGGGCACGCGCATACACTCACATACGCAGCGCAAGCACAGACAGAAACACCTCCCAAACTCACCCCCCACACACACATATATATATATATATATATATATGTGTGTGTGTGTGTGGATGTGGTGATGATGTAATCGATACTGAAAATGAAATCGACGTGCATTTTTCAAATTCCAGCTGAGTTTATTGCGTCCACGTCGCATTAATATCCTTAGGAAAATTTGAATCCATCTTTTCTCCCTTACCAATCATGGGTAAAATAGTAGGGCAGACTTGGCCTTAGGGTAAACAGTAAAAAAAGAAGGAAAACTCTGAATTCACATCCCCTGCTAACACGTTATGGGTTAGTATAACAGGTTTAGGTTCATGATTCTTCTTGCCCGACTGATATGACGGACATTAATGAAGAACTATGTTCTGCAATGACAGAGAGACAATGGCTGAATTATATATATATATATATATATATATATATATATATATATATATATATATATATATAAAATTGCGTCCTAAGTATGACGATAAACTATATCCAGCTTCAAGGCCGCTGATTGCGAGATTGGAGGTTTTTCAGGAGCAATGGAACTACCTTTTAACTGCTGTTGTTCCCAGACCCAGGGTGGTAGCACCTATTAGGGTCCCAATTATGGGCAAATGGTAAAAACAAAAATAAAAATCAACAGTACAGTTTTATCATAAAATGACCAATAATACATTTTATAGCAAGATGACAATCAATGCAACACTAAAAAGCATATTAAAATACATTTTATATTAAAATGACTAAGAATACATTTTATGATCTACAAAGTACATATCTGAAAACCATGCCATTAGCCTAGGAATATAAAATTATGGACACCGTGTCTGTAGCTGAAAGCATATAATTGCACGCAGGATATTTAGATTTGGGTATTAAATAACCCATAGAGGTTGATATGCCGCTAAATAAATTCAACCAACCAACTAATAAATAAAATTAACTATTCACTTACCCTTACTCTGATTTTCGTGGTGATTACATCCACTGATCAAGAGATTTGATTGCAAAACTGAATCAGTTATCCTAAAGTGTATTTTTCTTAAAAGTCATTCATTTTTTTCCTAAAAGCATGTTATTGCTTGAAAGCTATTTGAAATTGTTTTAAACAAAGAGGAACAAAATAACTGAAGATTTAAATGTTTTTTTTATTATTATTACTAATGCACTATCTCTTTGTATCGAACACTATAAATACTAAAGCTGATTGCTTTAAGAACGTTTACTTACAAAAAGTAAGCGTTTTATTTTGGCGAAACACAATCCTTGCTTATATATATATATATATATATATATATATATATATATATATATATATATATATATAAATAAATCAAGAAAACTTAAAAATTCATATCGTTTATAATTTAATTCGTGAACATTTTTGTATTCATCTCTTCAGACCGAAAGTCTTTTTAGAAATGGAACCAACCGATCCAGACAGATATATCAGGATAAAAAAGAGAAAAGGAAAGAAGGAGAAAGAGAAAATGAAAAAAGAAAATTAAGGGAAGAAAGAGAGAGAGAGGGAGGGCGGGAGGGAGGAGAGAAAGGAAAGAAGGAAGATATATACATACATATATATATATATATATATATATATATATATATATATATATATTAGGCATGCGTAAAAGAAGTCCCATCACTATTTGTCAAATAATAGAAACTGAATACAGTTGAAAACTGATTTTTCGTTGGAAACTTTTACACATACTTAATATATATAAGTCCTCAGTAGGATACGAGAACCAATGATCAACTCGGCACACCTCTATCTAGAAATCTCTGCCTGCATCCCCCCTTGCATGCATCAAGCTAATCCTCACCATCATCTTTTTTACGGTATGTCCTTCGCAAAGTGTTTGATTGTTCTTAATAAAGGAATTCTTAAAACTTCTTAAGCGGTCGTTGTTCGGAGTTAAATTATTTCAATGTTTTAGATATTCAGTAAATTTTCCATGCCCGTAACAACTTTCAAATAGTATGACATTGTTAACAAATCTAATAATCAAGCAAAAACGGGGGTGAAGCGTCAGAGCTTGATTCAACTGCAAGTGCAAACGCATAAACACCCGCTTCTTGTCCATACGTTTACTGTAAAGATGAGGTTAATAAGAGGTTCTTCGGGATTTTTCCCTTTTAACGCTTCAATAATCGTTCTCAAACAATCTTATAATGGAAGCCTTATTAATAAAAACAAACAAACCAACACTTAATAATATTAACTTTGAACATGGACACGATATCTTGACCGTGTTTTGAAAAAAAAACATTTTATAAAACATACATACAACAAACTATTTCTTATTTAACAGTTAAAATATTTAAACGTTGAAAATGGCTAAATGTATAGCCGAAAGTGTTCGGATAAAAATTCAGTTTTTATATAATTTATCATCCAAAAACAAAAAACATTATTAGATCGCATGAGAAATTTTATAAAAAACTAAATAAAAGCACCTAGTCTGTCGTATTCAATGAAATGTGCATGAAAGAAGGATTGCTCCCTAAATACACAAATATATATATATATATATATATATATATATAAAACTATTCAAATCAAATTCCTTGTAATTTTTTGTCGCTTTTTTGTATATATATATATATATATATATATATATATATATATATATATATATATATATATATATATATTTTGTGTCTGTGTGTGAATGTTGTGCTGTGCAATTTAAAAATTTATTTAAGGTTATGTATATTTGATGAAGAAGGAATAATCGATATTGATTCGTCAAATATTTCTATAATTTTAGATCAAAGTTCAGCACTAGACAAGTTCGATATCTTGTTTGCAACTCTCATTTACTCAAATACATTCTAATAAACTTTCAAAAATTCTGAATATGGACGTCCTTGATAAAGATGGTCGAACACTGACACTTTTCTCTTTAAAAAAAAATGATAGCGGTCCTTTAGTCAGAAATCACTTACGAGCTCGTCTATTCAATCAACGTATTATTTTTACAATAGGAAATTGTAAAAACCTGGCTATTAAAAGAAGCACTCTGATTCATTTTTTTTTATTTCCCAGTTATTCACCCAACCATCTTTTATTTTTTTTATATATATTTTAGAGATTGTTTTTATTTATTTAGTTTAGTGTTGGCTAGTGTAAAAGAGAAAGTTTGCGAATATTTAGGAGAATTCCTTGTGGTTTCTTTTCTTTCTGGTTCAGACCATGGCATCATCGACTACGTAATTAAGGATTGGCGATGGTATATAAAGAAAGACATAACTGTTCTCCTACGGGCATTTTTGTGGCCAATAATATGACATCACGAATTATAGACCAATGAATGAGAAGACTAGTGTTTACAGCGTAACAGACAATGACATTACACCTCTCACCATTTTGTTTTCTTGTTAATGACTGCTAACGTTAACTTTTGACAACAACAGGTTTTCCCTTGATAAAGAGATATTGTAGCTTCAGATGACAATAAATTATTGATTTTCATGGGAACCACACATCTACAATATATTCCCCAGTGTCATGGTTTTTCTGTCTTCGCAAACAGGCA